TGATGTAACAATTTCAACAATTCAAATAGACAAATGTTTAGTTTATATTGAAAAATATAATATACACAATATTAGTTACATAAAATAATTAACTTTAAGTGTTTATATCAATCGTATAAAGTAAAATACCAAACTTTCGAGTCAATTAAAGCTAGTTCACCATTAAAAAAAACTTGGAAGTACCAAATAATCAATTTTTTCTAGCATAAAACTCTTCAAATGGTACACATCCACTATTTCGCATGCACAAATCAAGTCTAGTATCTACTAACGAATTCTATACTAAGACAAAATGACGATCCAATGTTTCCAAAGTTTTTAATGTTGATTTAATTCTAATCAATTCATGAATTCAACTATTAAAAATTATTATAATCACCCCCATTTTGATTATCATAAAATTAAGATTTTTTTTAAGAAAAAAGGTTTGTAAATTTTATTATAATCACTAAGTAGATTGATTATTTTGATTAAAATAAAAAGTATTAAATGTTTAGTAAATTTCTATTTTTTATGTCTTAGATATAAATAACATTTTATTGCATTGGTTTTTGTTTAGTGGATAATAAAGTAAACATGTCTAATAAAGAGAATTTTTATTTTAAAAATTATTCGTATTAGATTCATTTGATGTTGTTTTACTTGTATCTTTTCATTATTATTTAAGATTGCAATTGATCAATCTTTTATTACGATATGTATATCTTGTGCATATTGCCTTGATATTGTCTGAAGTCATAAACTTTATAAGGAAAGATGGATAGTGGCTAGTAATAGAACCTAAGATGTGTGTTTTGTTCTATTTGGAACTTGTCAGCTGGATATACATACATCTTAAAATTGATGTTCACTCTAGGATTTGAAACCAGTACCGTTCAGTCCACTTAGCTACTGAATATATATATATATATATATATATATCTGAGTTAAATAAACCTTTTTCTACACTATTTCATTCAAGGTCTATGAATTGATATAAAGTAGTCACTGAATTGTTAACAATTTCAATATATTGAATATTTTATCAGAAATGCGTTTTTGTGAATATTATGGTAATTTAATAGTTAAATTCATTAGTCAACTGAAGCTAGATGATCATGAAAAACCTGGAAGCGCTGGATAATTGTTTCGTTCTAGTTTGAAACTCCTCAGCAGTTCAAAATTACAATAGATTAACTTTATGGTGATATTTAAACTTATGTAATCGTCCGATATGTTGAGTATAAATAAAACCAGAAAGTGAAATTATAAAAAAACTTTACCTTCCGCAACAGTTCAAGCTTAAGAAATAAAGTACTATAAGCGATTTATGAATTCTGGTAATTCCTTTTCTCTAAAAATTTGATTTGGTCAATGAAATTAACAAAAAATAATCAGTTTTAGTTTACTAAAACTGTAATTAACTATTGGTAGATTTTTGACATTTATTAGCTTCCTTAATTGTTATAAAACAAAGTAACTTTATACAAATATTTGTACATTCAGTTATTGATTAAATTTAGTGTAAACATTATGTTTCAAGCTAACTGCTTCCAACGTTAAACTCATATTTCTACATCTCACCTAGTCTATCTCAATTCGGTTGAAAAGTTAATATCTCATTTTGATTAGTTGAAAATTAAGCAGGACAATTAATCATATAGCCTTGGCTTCCTAAAAATTTATAAATGAAATAAGATTTCAAACCAATAAGTATAACTGATAAGTGTTTGGATCCCCCATCCCACTATCAGTATTATGAACCGGGACTCGTCAGTCTCTTTGATATATGTGCATTCTGTGCAGTTTTTTTATATGGCCAACTAGTTAATCACTTGCAGTCTATAACATTAAGAACAGAGAGACATAAATACATACAAATAAAATTAATACTCTTTACAAAAGCTTGTAGCTATCTGGGTTCAGTGTTTTAATGTACTATGCTATGGTATCCAAAGTGAAAAGTAATAAGTTCCAATTCTAATATGAATATCAACACCTAAATGAAGGTATATATAGCTGGTGAGTCCTAACTAGAACAAAATATTTGTTCTGCATCCTACTACTAACAAATTATTATTTCAACTTTAATTACATCTACTATATTAATTAACATTCCTATGTATAAACCATAAAATTATAATTTTATACCAGTATACAAGCTTTATTTGTCTAAATTTATTGATCAACTTTGCAAATGAACTACATCTTATTTAAAACACTAAAGAAAAAATAGCAATTTAACTTTCTTCAAACGAAATATTCAAGTTAATTTTAAACAGTTTATTATCATTAGATATTTAGTTACTAGCTTAATGATAAAGTTTAAATAATAGTCTACAATAAGATTAATCAACGGCTTTAGTTATAAAATTTCATTATTAATTATAAATAGTACAATATCGAAACTTAACCAACTTTCTTAGTTAACAACAATACGTCATGAAATGAACTTTATCAATCAACAAATCAAATCATTAGGATAGTATATTTCAGAAAGTAAGTTCTAATTTTAAATATCGTGATGAAGACTAGATCATTAGATCATTGAGTTGAAATTCTAAAGGTTTACATTTCCTTAAAATCAATCAATAGTATGACTGTCATCAAATGTCATCACATTAGAACTTTAAGGAGAATTTATAAAGTTTTAATCTGAATTCATAACCCAACTGAATAAAAGTTAGTTATTACTAGTGAATTTGAATGATGATTGTGTTATAATCACGAACTGATCAAATATAAAAATATTATCTAGTGAATTCTATTTTACAATGATCAGTGATTTTGAGCTCGATTAGAAGGCCTTTCGAAATCGACTCCGATGTAGGGTAGTAAATGTGCATTGCTGAAAAGTTACAAACTAAGAAGATGCTGTTCATTGATTTTTATCTTTTCACAAACAGATGTTTGTTTATGATAGTAAAAACTTCGAGTTTAAGAAATTTTTACAAACTCTATGTACAAATCATCCAACCATCCATTAATAATAAGATTGTCAGTCTTTTTCATAAACTATGTAAAATACTGAGCAAGAAAATTGACAATCTCAACATGAATATGAATTAATTTTGATATTTTATGCACATTTTTCTTAGATAAAATAATCTTTCATTTAATACAACATTTGATTAGAACAAATTTTGGATTAACCAGATTTAAGACAGAGAGTCTTCAGTTTTGGCGCAAAACTCATCCATTCGTACGGTTAAATAGCATTTAGTTATTAAACCCAATGTCATTTTGTGATGAAAACCCTGATTCTAATTCATAACCGACTTCTAACACTAAATCTCAATTCTTATTTCTCATACTAATTTATAACCCTCTGTAGACCTTGGAAGCGGATAGATTTTCTCAAGGACACGTTGGCGTCTCACGAAGGTCGCCCAGAGATTATGGTCTCATCCAAATTTTTGTGTATATCTGCCAGCATTTATTTTAGTGCCCTTCATTTTAAAAAAGCACTTTAATTTAAATTTGTGGTTTTCATTATTAATTGACGTCAAAGGACAACTATTACGAATCAAAGATCATAGGAATGGTTTATTATGATTGCGTATACATGACCAAGTGGCAACCACAATATCATCGAACCTGTAAATCAGAATTACATAGTTCCCATTTTTAACTTGTATCAACTATGCTATAACAGTATTTTCGTCCAGTGTGATACGTTAGTAAAAACACCTCTTGATTTTCATTCGTTATACATAATTAGCAGTAATACCAAAATGTGTCTTCATTGGTTAATCTACTACTTCATACAACTTTTGTCAACATGAAATATGCAGATGGCATAGTCCCAATTTATTAAATCATTTGAATAACCATTCAAGAATGTTTTAGATATACTACTATTCCTTGAAACATAAACTACTATTTTAGGACTAGTCTGATACATGAAGTAAAGTTATTGAGCGCATTAATCTCTTCACTTATATCGAATTTCTTATCAAATTCATTGAACAAGTGACTGAGAAAATGTGAACACTTAAATAAAATTATATTTTAGTCTTTGACAATTATGTTTATCATCTGTAACATGGTCAGGATATGCTATGGTTCATTACTGACTTACTCACTTACGCCCGTTACTCCTCGTGAAGGAGAATAGGCCGCTCACCAGAATTCTTCATCCAACCCTGTCCTGAGCAATCCTTTCCAGTTCTTTTCAGTTGTTACTCATTCTTTTCATATCTGCTTCTATTTCCCGACGTAATGTGTTGTTCAGCCTTCCAGTTTTCTACTTCCATTCGGAATTCTAAGTTGGGGCTTGCCTCGTGATGCAGTTTGGTGACTTGCGTAATGTATGTCCTATTCACTTCCATCGTCTTTTTTAATTTCCTCTTCAGCTGTAAGCTGGTTCGTTCTCTCCCACAGAAGGCTGTTGCTGATGGTATCCGGCCAATGGATGTTGAGTATCTTGCGTAGACAGCTATTGATAAATACCTGTACCTTCTTGATGGTGGTTGTAGTAATTCCCCAAGATTAAGCCCTGTACAGTAAAGCTACCTTAACATTCGTATTGAAGATTCTGACTTTGATATTGGTTGACAGTTGTTTTGAGTTCCACATGTTCTTTAATTGAAGGAATGCGGCCCTTGCTTTGCCAATCCTCACATTTACGTCTGCATCTGATTTTCCTTGTTCATCGATGATGCTTATCAGGCATGTGAATGATTTTACATCTTCCAAAGTTTCGCCATCAAGTGTGATTGGATTGCTGTTCTCCGTGTTGTATTTGAGGACCTTGGTTTTCCCCTTATGTATTTTGAGGCCTACTGATGCAGAGACTGCTGCTACACTGACTGTCTTTATTTGCATTTGTTTTTATGCGATAGGAGTGCTAGTTTATCTGCGAAGTCCAAATCGTCTAATTGGTTCTTAGCTGTCTATTGTACGCAGTGTTCATAGACAGACAATATTATCACAACTTATTGATATTTCATTTTATTTTCTTCTTTCATTATGTTTATATAAAATATAAAAATTTAAACCAAAGTACTTTTATACCTAATCTTAATTTGTGCTTGTTTAATTGATTAGATGATCAACTAATTAATATTAGTTTTTTTCCACCAAACTAGTAACTTCATTTCTATATTGAATGTTAAATGTTTTAACTTAATTACAAGAATTCGTGTCGTTTTTCTTTTATAAATTTATTTCGTTTGTCAACTTATTATAAATTTTGCTTACTTGGTTTTTTTCTCGTTTTTTTTTGTCACTAGAACATTTAACATGAAAATTGTTTATCACAGGAAGAAAACATTTAAACAATAATATAATTATTGAAAAATTATAATATTATTCATCATGTTAACAACTGCATTAAATTTTCTTACTGATAAACGTAAACGATTTCATCGTTCGGATACAATGCCAGCTTTTACAAATGATTCAAATTTCTTTAAATTAACTTCAGATAATCAAATTATTGAGATGGACAAACATTCAAATGTAGATAAAGAAAGTGATGAACATGACAATGATGATGATAATATTAATACTACTTACAGTAATGATGATGGAATAACTTTTACCAATATTCCCAAAAGAAGTAATAATCATTATCAAGGTGAAATATTATTGGACAAAAGTATTTGTTATCAAGATGATTTACCAACATCATCATCAAGAAGTTATGCAAACGAAAAACTATTTGAAAATACAGATGCGAATGATGCAGATGATGATGATGATGATGACGATGAAGGTGGTGATGATAATGAATGCAATACTAGTCTTGTAAATTTTCCTTCATTTACATTAAATGATAAACATTCTATAGAAAGTATAAAAATACCATATAAACAGCATTTATCAGTTGGTAACTTAGATAAATATCAATTTTTAGATCTCGAAACAAATTTATATCGTCATGGTAAAAATCATTTGAATAATCCTATTAATGAAATCATTCCACGTCGTTTATCTCATGGTTATAGTCTAAGTAATGTACAAATTCTATCAGATAATACAAGTTTAAAAAGTGATGTTTCATCATCAGTTACTTATTCAAAAAAGACATTCAGTGATACACATCATATTACTAAAAATAAAAAAATAAATCATTCATTTAAATGTAGAAAATTTGAAAGTACTAAATCTTTACGTTTTCCAACTGAATTAAAAGAATCTCATATTTTTATTTCTGGTGATTCTAATACAGAACAAATTATAGAATCACCTATTAAATTATCAAATAAATCAAAAGTTGCTAAAATACGTGCAAGAGCAGTTGCTAAAGCAGCAAAAGGTAAATTAAAACGTTCAAAAAGTAGTGTATATATGTCAAAATATATTCAAGAATTAAATTCAGAAGATAATACTACTAGTACTAATAATAATAATATAAGAGGACGTTCATCTAGTACACATCGTAATATTGATATAAATCAATTATCTGATAATAAAATACATTCTAATTTAGTTAAAAATTGGATTGATAAAACTCCACGTTTACGTACAGATATCTCATCACAAAATCTTATAAATACAAATAATATTTATGATACAATAAATATAAATGAATATTTTGAAGAACTTGTAAATAAATCTAATACATATAAATTTCAAATTATAAATGCACAAAATTATTCTAATTCACATAATGAAATTACTGATACTATTCATGAAATAAATGATAATAATAATAATAATAATAATAACAATGATAATAATATCAATAATAATAATAATAATATTAATGATGAAAATATCACTATTTCAAATAATAATTCTATAGCAAAAATTTTATTTAATCGTAATTATACTAGTACAATACATAATATAAATAATATAAAATCAAATCGTTATTCAGTTGTTAAAAAATTACGTAGAAATAATTCAAGTATTACATATTCTAATGATCAATTAATTATAAAATCAAATAATAATCATAATAATCATACAATTATATCAACGAATTCAACAGCTGGTGATTTATTACTTCCTATAAATAATTATTCATTAAATACAATATATAATAATAATAATAATATAATAGATAATGATAATAATTTAATTAAAAATTTAATTGAACAATTATTTCTAATCATAAAACATAATGATTATAATCAATTTTTTAAATTATATAAACAATATAAAAAATTAAATAATAAACAATTAAAACAAATTCATATAGCAACTAATCAATATGGTTTAACATTATTAGATTATGCACAAATTAATTCATCATTAATATTATTATCCTATTTATTAGTATGTGAATTTTTACCAGGATCTATTATTCAATCCATATTATATTGTAAACCAAAATATTATCATTTACAAAAAATTAATAAAATTGGTAAATATTTAGAAAATTTATTAGATGAAAAAGAAATTCAATTAACTAAATGTAAATTAGATACAAACAATACAATTACATATATGAATCAATTAACAATTAGTGACAATACTAAATATAGTAGTAGTAGTAGTAATATTAATAGTAATAATAATAGTAATTTAATACAAACCAATAATCAACAAAATAATGAACAAATAAATAACACAATGATATATGCTGAAATTTCAATGAAAGAAAAACAATTACAATTAATTATAGATGAATATGAATATTTAACTAAACTTATTAATAATTATAATAAATTACCAAAATATACTAAACCACCAAATAAAGTGAATATATTTTTAAATTCATCAAATTCTATATTAATACGAATAAGTCCACCAAAATATAATCAATTAAATGATAATAATTATGATGAAAATTCTTTCAATGATACTACTAATACTACTGCTAATAATAATAATAATAATATTCATCATGATAATGAATTAGATCATAGTTCATGTGAATCAACTGATATAGAATTTATACATGATTCAATAAATGAAGGACGTAAAATTAATAATGTATATAATATTTATTCAAATAATTTTATTCTACGTTATTGTATAGAATGGTCAACATGTCCAAAATTTTCTAATACTAATGAAGTATATTATTGTTTAGTACAACCACCAATTCGTATAATTAAACCAAATATAAATAAATTAAAAGAAAATCAATATAATCTTTTACGTGTAGGATTTTATTGTTTAAATAATTTACCTGAAAATAAAATGATATTTATACGTGTATATGCATTTTCTATACAAGGATGGTCTGAACCATGTTATGCTTATCCTAATGGAATAGTATTATCATCATGGATTAGTAATAAATTATGTGAACAATATAATATTACAATACAACGTGAAAATTCAATTTTACCATATACAAAATATGTTGGTTGTGCTTTAGATAAACAAATTGATACATATAAAAATGATTTATATAAACAATTATATTCATGGACACAACATTTATCAATTAATTCAAATATTAATTATAATACTATATCTAATAATATATCAATAAATAATTTAGATGAAACAAATAAAAGAACACGATCACCATTATTACAAAGAAAACGTTCATTTAAATTTCCTTTTATAAATAAAGGTTTAAAATTTGTTAAACAAACTAAATCTGGTATTTATTTAGCTATAATATATCATACACCAATTCATTCAATAACATCTAATAATAATAATAATAACAATAATAATGAATCTAATAAATTAAAATATAAATCAAAAATTTTATTAGCTGATGATTCTATACCAATAATAAATATAACACGTGATGATTATACAAATGAATCAATATTAAATTCTGATTTTAATTGGTTACAACGTATTATATCTGATTCATTATTTGATATGAATTTACAATTTTTATATAATCATATACCATATACATCATTTCCAACAAATTTACAACTTCGTATTAAATTATTAGAAATATTACAAAAATTAAAATTATTATTTAATATAAAAAATCTTGGTATTATTTATCCAGAAATAATACGTATACGATCTATTGATCCTAATTTAATTCATTTAAAATCAATAAAATATGAAAATTCTAATATACAAGAACAATTGAATTCATCTAAATTATCAACGGATACAAATGATTCAATTATAACAAATACAAATTATGAAAATTATTTTAAATCAACATCTACATTTTTATTTATATTACTTAAAAAAATTAATCATTCTAATGATATTTTATTAAATAATAATTTAAAATGGTGTAATATTGATAAATTTTTAAAACAAAATAAAATTAAATTAAATCAATTTTATGAAATTCAATCAAATATTGATTATATAAATTATAATATTATGACAAATATAACAAAAAATCTTTTATTATCAACAATATATTCACATTTATTAACAATACGTGATAATCATATATATATGTTACCTGAATCACAACTTATTATTAATTTAGATATATTATTAAATTATTCTGAACGTAATAAATATATATTAGATCCAGGATTATATATTGTATATTTACAAATGAAAGCAAATATGGATCAACAAGCATTAATATTAATATCTAATACATCATCTATAATACATATGTTACCATATGAAAAAATACGTAATAGATCACATGTAAGTATGGATGAATGGTATAGTTTATGTAGATTAATTGAAAAAACAAATGAAAAATCTGAAAATAATTTTATTAATTTAAAATATTCAATAAAACGTTTTATAATACAATTTATAAAATCAATAATTAAATTAACAAAACGTTTATGTTATAATATAAATGATATCAAAATGTTACGTATATTTTTACCAGAAATAATTAAAATATCACCAGTACATTCATTTATATTATTATTACCACCAATAGATCAAGTATGTTTACCTCCAACATCAACAATATTACCACCAATTAATTGTTCATGGATATCAATGACATATTTTGAAAGACATTTAGGTATTAATTATGATCCATTATTTCATAAACCAATACAACATTTAATATCATTTTTAGAATTAATAATTCCATTATCACAATTTGCTCAAAGACAATGTTTAAAAGAATCTGATTTAATACAATTAACTGAACGTACTCAATCATTACAAACTATTCAAACAAATTTAGAAAATATATATCAAACTAAAAGATGGTTAAGTGAAACAATTTCAATTGGACGTGATCGTAAAAAAATGTATAATTATCATATAACTATAGAACAAATTATAAATGAATATAGTGACATTTTAAAACCTTATTTAATAAAATCAAATTTAAATGATGAAACAATTAATTTCAATATATTATTACAAAATGATAGATCGACTATGGTAAATAATAATGAAAATACAATCAAACCTAGATCATCATCTGTACATAGTGAGTTATTTGATACAACTGTTATTTCTGAACGAATAGATAGAAGTACATTACCATGTTCACCAACTGAATCAAAACATATTGGAAAGACATCAGTAATACATGTTTATGCAGATTATCCAACAGGACTTACACCTGGAGTATCAGTACGCCTCTTAATCAATATGCGTACAACAGTTGGTGAAGTAATTGATACTGTAGTAAAACAATTATTAGAAACTGCAGATAGAAAAAATTTTACAGTAACTGAAAATAATGATTCACCATCTGCATTATATTCTTTTGACTTTACACGAACTAATATAAAACAAAATTTAGAAAATCATTTATTTTGTTTAACTGTATCCGTTGGTCAACTAGAACGTTGTTTACCAAACACTGTACGTTTAGCTTTACTTAGAAGACCATGGAGATTTGGAAAATTAACAATTCGTCTACTTAGTGATTTATCAGAAGATATTCGACATCAAATATCTTTAAATACTGTTGAATCTAAAAATTCTGGTTTATCCGATCAAATTGTATCTCCTTTATTGACAGTTACTCTTGTTAAACCTAATTTAAAACAGGCTAATATTAATTCACCTCCAGAGATTTTACATTAAACATATTTCAATTTTTATTGAATAAATTAAAACAAAATTACAATTTACAGTTTATAAATATATTTGTATGTACTGCCTTACAAACAATCGACTAATGTTTGCTTCAGGGGATATATTTATATTTAACAATTGAATGTATATTAAAGTATTCAATCATAGAAATCCTTCAAATTCTAATGTAAACAACAATCAGACAACATCTATACTATACATTACTTATCCTTTAGTCTTTCTTATTAATAATAACACTTATAACGTATGGATTTTTTCTCCTTTACCGCTTACATACTTTAAGTTCTGTTCTCTGTATAGAAAATTTTTCTTATTAAAAATTAAGGTAAATAAAAATTTACAAAACAGAATTGTAATAATTCATCTTTAACAATTGTACTTTTATCTTTTTTGCTTGTAAAATATACTATCGTAAAGATGTGATTTGCAACTTCAGTTGTATAGTTTGTTCTTTTTTATCTAGATACACCTTTAGGGTAAATACGGTGTAGGATACCAGCTGCTGTGATTAGCGTTTATTTGGTCAGCAGCAAATGTAAGTGATCTTACTACAAGAGCTGTAATGTACGATATAGGAAATAGAAGAAAATTATTCTGAGCCAAAGTATTACGAGGTCGTGTTGAAACAAACGACATAATATTAAGCTTAATCCTCAATCTAATCAAATGAATCGTTTATAACATTCATTATTGAAAGAACATTGGCGTCGGTGGTTTTTTCAATAATCGGAAAGGTGGATGTTTCGTGATATTCATTTTGAGTGAGGATAGGTCTATCAATAACGATAATGGTAATATACTCAGTAAAACTTGATATCCTATAAGTAGAAAAGTATGACTGAAAGGCTCATCAATGAGGATTTTGGAGAGTTTACCAACGTCTTTATACACCAGTTCATAGACAACAGAAGACTTTTATAAGACAAAGTCTAGAAAAATCATTAAAGACTTATTAATACACATGATTTAAAATGTTGTTCATCCTGATTAAATGGTATGTAAAACAGGAAAAGATGAAAACATCAACTAGTAGATTTCTACTTTTACATATCATCAACTAAGCAAAAAAGGAACTTAAACCAATTCTAAGATTTTATTGAGACTATTCCATATTTAAGACATCATATAACAATTTTATGTCGACAAACTCTATATTGTTGAACTAGTTAACAAAGGTTTATGATGCAAATAAAACTTTAGTGAGAATAAACTGTTATGTTTCACAACTTGTAATCTATTTAATGTGATGTGTGACTACACCTTTCTAATAATATTTACTCATCGTAGTTATGTAAGACCGAACAAATATTAAAGTTGATTTTTTTTCATTACTGTTAGTTTAAATCTGTATATTTAAAGGATTAAATTTTAACTACCTGGAATATCTTTGACAAAAAAAGTTTATGATCAGAGAATTCCCATACAAGGACGAAACGGCCGTCAAGTGCTTCTAGGTTTTTAGTGGTGGTCTAGCTTACATTGACTCATGAATTCAACTATTACAATAAAGTTTAAACACATAATAACATTATAATTAGGGTAGTTTACAATGTTACTAGTTTATTATCTTCTAAGCCGTACATTCATCAGTACTTGTGATAGATTCACGATATTAATCGTACTTGTTGTACGAATGTTTTAAGTTAACAAAATTTTTGCACTAACTGTTGCCACGTTTTTTTACTATGATATTCGGACACGCTTTTATCAGGTACACTGCATATATGTACTAGACTATTTTACCGTGTCTGATTTCCACCGAAAAGTTTACATTTTATAATCCAAGAAAGCAAAAAACAATTTAATTTTGGTAATACAACCATTTCACAAATAATATTGTACATCCTTTAAGTTAACATCCTATAATCAACATTCCACGAATTCAGCCAATTTGTAATATGGTAAAACCATCTTCTAGCGTTAAATGTCATCGTTATCAATTACATGGGTGTAACCTCATTTGAACATGAAGGTGACCAGAAGAATACTGATTGTAAAAGAAAATTCTATCGACCCTTAGGCTAGTATCAGTGCACGTATGTATGTGATCTAAAAGATACTGCAACGAGTAAAGCATGAGCCTAAACTAAAGTGATTTAACATTTATTAATGTTACCAACATAAAGTAATATACACATACTTAAACGTAATGAAGAAGAATAGAAATCGTAACAATTGCAGCAAGACGGTCAGGAATACCACTAACATTTAAAACAACTAGGACGTATAATGACTATTCAGAACTATAGGATATATTAAAGCAGGATACTTCAATCAGTTTGATCACATAATATCTAGACATAATTAATGGTTAAGAAGATGAATCGACAAAACCCTCTATCTATTCAAGGTTTACATGGACAGTGTGGTATCTCTGCTTTCATCATTTTTGTCAAATCTAATATAAAAGATGTGTTTGAAAAGTTCTGTTTCATAAGATTATCTGTGTCTGTATAGAAGGCATTGTAAAAGATGAAATAAAAATGTTAAAGAAAATATGAGACAGAATGGATGCACACCAAAGTCCATAGACCGATCAAAAATCGGCAAAACTGTATTTAGGTAACTACCTGTAGTTGGGCCAAGAGTAACTTTGGAGTAGCTATACCCCGTTTAAGATAAGGGGGAAACAAGCGGTGAAAACTAAAATCATGTCTCTAGAAACCAATGAAGTGAATGTAGCGGGTTTACTCGGTTTGTTAGTTTGTCGAGAATTAATAATTAATTTTTTTTATCAAAAGGTAAGTTGAGTTAAATACAAAAACTCATATAAGGAGACTGGCATTCATCAAAGTCCTTTTACATGTCATAAATTCTCGTATTGTGTTTTCCCATAGAATTCATGATATTTGTGCGCAGACTCCCTGGAGGTTCTGTAAAATTATTTTATTAGACAAGCTAAGGACCATGTAAATAAAATTCCCGAGTTTCAGGATATTTGTGACACAATAATACCTACTATTCTTTAGGTCATTAATGAAATAATGTAGTTGAAAGTTTAGGAAAAATGGAATAATTTTATACTGATATTTGCATGCAAATTAATGTACATTAATTCACAGATACCGTCTACATCAGAAGGACGAAGATTATTTCGTAACTTGATTTTCATACCGTGTAATATTTACTGCATTGTAGAGCAATAGAGATTTTTTCACAAATTTTAGACATACCTTCTACTAAGTTCTTCATTAAATACAAGCTATATGTTACTACATCCTAAACTTCACTCTAAAACTGAAGACTCACTATCTAGAATCTGATTAGTTCTTCTCCAAAGTATAGTTTTACTGTAAAGTGTAAAATTCTGAGAACTGTTACGGTCTTAACAACAAAGGACCATATCTGCATGTGTGTACCATTTAAAGGTGATTCGGATAACTTGATCTGAAACGAAAACTTAAATCGAAAGTGAGTATAACCTATAGGCCACTCAAGGTAATTTTAATTGAAATGTGAAAATCCATAATGTACCATTAACATAAGCACCATATAAACAATTACAGCTCAAACAACTGTTATTCTTAATTTGAATTATTATGAACATACAGGAATAGATAACTGATATCCATTCTAGATTGGTTAAGAATTTGATTAAGTGATTCCGAATGTAAATAAACCCAAAGATCTGATGACAAACATTAATCCTTTATTTTGAAGCATTTATTAAGAATACATCATACGGCTAATTTAAAAACGGCTTTTATAGTTAAATACGGAGATTGCTTAAGGATGAATACTTGAATCGACTGAAACGTTCCACGACTTTCCTAAAATTAACTATTCTGTACACTTTAGTTACATGTTTACACTTGTCTATCAGTCTGTTTACGACCATTGAAATTAGAATTATATCATGAAATGAAATATCTTTACAAATCGATATTAGTAAACGTGATCTACTATCCAAGATTATAGATATATTTACGGTTTATCAGTGGTTTTAATGTTACAATATACTGTGATTATTCTCAGTCATTTACAAATTTACCATTGCTTCATCGTCACTTTTAACAGTTTCTACAGTAATAAACTTATTTCAGTAGACTATGAGTGTTGCTTTATCCTGGGGTCTAAGTTTTAAAGATCTACTGTTTGCGGTAAACACAAATTTTAGCCATCTGTTAGCCTATCAGAAAACAGATTTTGTAAATAAAGAGTTTGGCTAAAATAAAGTTATACTACAAAGAGTAAAGACATTTTACATAACTATTGAATCTGTTGAGGTCCTCTACAAGTCACTGTGTCTGTAACCCATAAAAGAACAACATAAATCCGTCTATATAGATGTAGATTGTCCGTCTTCTCTAACCTTTGTAAGAATAAACATATTTGTAGTAAACCCCATATTGTTGATGGTTAGGAAATTGGAGTTAGAGTTTGGGTTAGACATATGTAGTTACGATTAGGAGTTACGTATATGTGTTAAGATCAAAAGCTTACTGTTATGATTAAGGGCGTAATTTTAAGATTTAAGGATAGGATTGATTTGTGTGTTATGTACAACTCACATAAGTAATAGGAACTTGATACGTTTAACACAATCACGTAATGTAATAGAACAAACCATCTTTCATTATTATTTTGACCTTTATTAAAGTCCGCTTTGTGTAATATAAAATAAGGCTTATTCATTTTTGAATTTATTACAAAAACTCAAGAGCTGTTTTCGCAATTCTGATCAATTTACATTTTAACTTACTGGACTATATTGATAGTCACCTAATTCGAAAGGATTTTGAAGACTTAATAAACTACTAACAGATAGAATGTGAACGATAGCTGTCTATTATGTCACTAAAAAAACCAACGGAAATCCATGAACTCTTCTCTTTATTATAATCGTAGATTGATTAAAAACCTTTCTGATGAACAATAATATCTTATAGTCACAAACGAGGTGTAGTCTAACAGTATTACTGAGACTTAGTGAGACGAAAGATACTAACATAAAATAGTATTCACTGTAGTTATTTTGTCTAGTTTAA